ACTGTGGAGTGTGAGTTCCTTTGTCCAGTGGAGCAAAGAAACATCTGGTATCTTGAATGATGAGTCCCAACATATTTATCTATCTATCTAAATGAATTGGCTGAATGTTGTATTGTGTGCACATAGCCTCCTGTAGTTGAAATCATTAGTATTTTGTAGCCAGATTTCCTTTCAAGAGGTAAAAAACGCCTTTGGCACAGTTTGGGTACCTTGGCTATCCAAGTGTCCAAATGGAGAGTCCGCCTGGGCCCATCCCTACTAAAATCTTTGTAGAATTTGTATGCTTTGTGTTATTTCTACCTACTTTGTTACGGTTGTAGTCTTGGGGGGACTATTCAATATATATATGATGAATGATATGTCTATATGTAAGTGTCTGTGTGGGTGTAACAAAGGAGGACAAATGACTTGCGGCGGAGTCGAGCGACCGTGGGATGCGAGCGATAGTTATTCGGCCCACAGCGCACATATGGCCGTGAAGCTGTATGCCCATTGTCTGATCGGTTAAAGGATTGAGCAACTCGCCTCATACCCAGCGGTCCCGCAAAGGGACACACAGTTAATCTGGAGTGATGAATAACGGCAAGCAGCGCACAGTAACTTCAACACTCTTAATTGTATTGTACAAAGGACTCGGCGGTCCATGGAAAAACACTGTTAGCACAGTTCAAACACAGCAAATTAAAAACCAACATCAACAGCTAAGCTAAACACACAATTAATACAGTCTCTGCCCAGAGGTAAACCTCTTACTTGGATCGCTTCCAAGCGATTAGATGTGTGACGATCCGTCGGTAAAATCCAGCACAGGTTCTCCGGTGCAGTTCTGACGGTGTCGTCCTCGTTCGTGAGGGTTGCGGCAGCTGGTTTCTTGTTTGGCAGCGAAGAAACTCAGCGCCGTCGACGTAATTGGAGGGTAGCGGGTGTCGGGTTGTCCGCGTCTCCGTGAAGAAGTTCCTTCTTCCTTCTGCAGGCAGGAGAGATCGTTGATCTGCGTCGGCAGAAATCTCTTTTTGGATCCGTAGTTTATGTTCAGTTAAACACGGGGGGAAATCTCAACTCATCCAGCGAGGGGAGAATCTTCAAACTCTGCGGGGGGAAAACACACGTGCACAGGGTTGGTTAACTCCTTCAGTAGACTGGCTCACAGAGAAAGCGGGCTATCTCTGTTGCAGTTACAATGGAAAGGCCATGGTCAGTGTGTGCAGTTGACCTTTATAGATGCAGTGATGTCACAGCGAAGTCGCCAGGGTCCCCTGCATCTCTGCCAATGAGAAGCGTGAGTTTGGGACTCCCCCAGATTTCACACTCAGGTGTGAACTGCAGAGCCTGCTAAGAGTTGGAGTCTGTGAGGGGCGGTTTTTGGCGCTCTTTTTTTGTTCAGGTCTGGGGCAAGGAATCAGGCTCTGAGGTCAGGCTTCAGAGGATACAAGTAGGCCGGAGCAGGCCTGCTTTTGGCCAACCACATCTTCAGGCCCAACAATGGTGTTATCCACTGTCAAAATAAAAATAAATTCTAGGCACGAAAAAAAAAAAAATCCTTTGGTTTATCACAATTTAATCAGCTATCCATACTGACCAAGCTCTTGCAAATGGAACTGATGGTTGTGGAACTATTGATCTATTTTGGGTATGTCTGTCTATGCGAGGCGTACCCCCCTGCATCCCTAGGGCTTAAGAGGTTAAGAGGTAGCAGTAACATTTAAATGAGAAAATTACACTGATTTATCATCTCTGTGTGAGATCTGCAGTAAGTTTGAGACAGAATATTGTTACAGGAGTGGAGCAGCTCCTTTGAGGAATAGATAAGTACATAGGTTGTGTGAGTAGCGGGCGAGGGAGAGATAGAGAGAGAGAGAGACAGAGAGACAGAGAGAGAGAGAGAGAGAGAGAGAGCAGTGATGCTGGCTGCCGGAGTAGAGTTAGCTAGTTAGAAGTTAGCAGAATAGTATATGCAAAACCATTTCAAGCTGTGCGGACTACAGCAGTGACGCTTTTAAAGCAACCTCTAGATTTTGATAGTAAAATGATTACATACAATGATTTTCAGCGCAGATATTGGTAGGGACATTTACAAACCTACGCCCTTGGTTGTTCTCTATGGTTTTGGAAAGTGGCTTGAAGTTAAGATTGACTAACTTGGACAGCCAGGAAGACATTTGAACTCTAACTATGTGATATTACCAGTGCGTAAGGAGAGTGGTGGTTTTTGGACTGTCACGTCCCAGCAATCGGGGGTGAGTGAGAGAATGATGGATTTGAACCAGTTGATTGCGTAGTCTGATAATTGAGCAAAAGTGTTTATGAGATGAATAGTTTCCGGTAATGAAGAGGGCAGATTTTGTAAGTAAAGTAAAATGTCATCTGCATGAAGGCTGATTTTATGCTGGGTTTTTTCTGTTTGATACCTATGATCTTTCTGTTTTGACAGATAGATACTGTGAGTGGTTCAATGAAGATGGTGAATAATGATGGAGAGATTGGGCATCCTCGCCTAGTACCCCTGTGAAGAGTGTTGGTGATTTAGTTTGAGATGTGTAGTGCATTAAGTAAAACAGTCTTCATAGATTGTTAGATGAGTGTCGCCCTTTGGTAAAGCCGGTTTGGTCTGAATGGATGATTGATGGAGTGACTCATTCAATATGTGACACTAGGGCTTTGCTAATGATTTTGTGTCCCTATTGATAAGTGATAGGGGGCAGTGACTTGATGGGGAGCTGGGATCTTTATGGGTCTGAGCAAGAGAGATATTGAAGCTGTGGTAAGTTTAGATCAGGGGTATTCAATTAAAATTCAAAGAGGTCCAGTTACAAAAATGTCCTCCCAGCAAAGGTCCGAATCTTATATTGTCACTTGAAATAGTGCACCCTGCTGTAAATAAAAAACAACATATGTACTTTTCTATGTCATTTATTGTTAAATTTCAAGTGTTATATACTTTAAACATACTGACAAGTCTGAACTTGTATGGCACTTGAATGGAAAACATTACTGTAGTTGTCTTTACTACATTTCAAGTAACTGAATTTCTTCTTCTTCTTCTAAACAAAAGACCTTTGAGCTGCCCACCCCCTATTTTAACCATTTATTAACTAGTGGCATTAAACCCAACAGGTCCTCACACATCTCTTTCTTCTCTTTGTGAAGAAATCTCACATTCACCAAAAGGTGGGCATTATCTGTTACATCTGTGGACTCATCAATGGCTAAGGATATGCATACTGCGTTTTGAACAGCTGCATCAAGCTGTGCCAGTACATCCTCTGCTAATAGTTCAGATTTCTGGTTTTTGTTGAAGCTGACAATGGGATTTGCTTGATTTTTTTCACACATGTCGTTTTTTTGTTTACTGTTAAGTAAAGTCACTGCAGCCGCATTTAAGCACTCCTTCACCACTGTCCCATCGCTGAATGTTTCTTGTGTTGCGCCAAAATCCACGCAATCTTAAGTGAACACTCATCTGGACGTTGCTGGCCTGTAAATGCATGTGAGGACACGGGTAGACCGGTCATACTGTGCTTTCAGTTCGATCATTTTACTTGCCCTCACTGCGGACTTCTGCGGGTATGTTTCATCAAACGATCCGTGTTTGGTCTCATAGTGACGCTTAACGTTGCTACTTTTTATTAACGCCACAGTTTCACAGCATATGAGACACAGGTTAGAATTGGCTGCAGGCAAGACGAACATGTATTGGTCCGTCCATTCATCTTTAAAAGTTCGGTTTTCACTGTCTACTTTTCTCAAGCCATTTTGCCCCCCCCCCCTCCAGCTTGGCTATTGATGACGTTTCTGTCGTATAAACTAAATTAGCTGCGCATGCACAAATGATTTATCTTTTTATTAGGCCTAATATTATAATTATAATATAATTTTCACGGGTCCGGGCAGAACCGTCACTGGGTCCGTGCCCGGACCGCGGTCCGCCATTTGGTGATGCCTCGTTTAGATCTTTCTTTAATTTCATCCGCTACTCTAATGAAAATGGGGTCTAGAATATTCCAAAATTGTTTTTTGTATAACACAGCAGGGAAGCCATTGGGTCCTGGTGATTTATTGTGGGGAATGAGTTTGAGTGCATTGACACTTCTATTGTAAATGTTTTTTCTAATTAATTTATCTGATCATTTGTTAGTTGTGGTAGGTCAGTAGTATTTAGTAATGTATCAGTGTTTATTTGGCTTGGTTTTTGATTTGATGAGTATAGGTTAGAATAGAAATCTCTGGAAGTCTTGTTTCTTTCCTCTTCTTCCCTGCTGACTTCATAATCATTGAGATCGTTGTGCTCTCTTTGTTTTGCTTGATTTGATTGGCCAGGTATTTTCCAGATTTATTGTTGTATTCAAAATGTTCATGTCTGAGTCGTTGCAGCAAGCATTAGGTTTTTCTATTTGTGTGTTCATTCAGTTGTAATTTATATTTTCTGAAATCATTTTGGTTCTGTATTGTAGGATTTTTTGCATTGATGTTATCTAGTTCATTAATCTCTTTTCCAAGTAAATTTCCTGTTCATTGTCTTTATTTTTCTTGTTCGTGGAGTATGAGATGATTTTTCCTTTTAATACAGCTTTGCCAGTTTCCCAAAACAGTGATGGTGTTATTTCTGGTGAATCATTTATTTTGAGGAAGGAGGTCCACTGTTTTTCAATATAACTGTTAAAGTCAGGGTCATTGCGGAGGGATGTGTTAAGTCGTCCAAATGACGAAAAAGAGTATAAGATTGAACAAAATCAACAAAAGAGCATAATACGATAGCCATTACTTTATTTTCACATAATATATATCTTCATATTGTACAGCCCTATTTGAGGGAGCAACTCACTCCCAACCTGAATGAAGCAATCCACCAGTAAAGCTGATGGTTTATTAGCTGTTTTCTTCTCTTTAAGCATCTGTCTCTCAATTTGTAGTTTGTCTTCAAGCTATGTGTGTGTGTGTGTGTGTGTGTGTGTGTGTGTGTGTGTGTGTGTGTGTGTGTGTGTGTGTGTGTGTGTGTTTAGGAGCTCCTGCTGTCAGGGATGCCAGAGATCGATGTGCAGGATTGGTGCAGGAACACTGAGTACACCAGTGGCTATGACCCTCAGGAGCCAGTCATCCAGGTGGGCTCTTCTTCTATGAGCCTGACTTGGAATGAATCCTAAAGACCACACAATTATGTTTCACTTGAATCATCTGGGTTTTTAGAAATGTTAATGTTTACCAGTTACATTGTCCAAACCTTAGGCAAAGGTTGTTACCTTATTGCATTTACAGATTAGTTTTAAAAGAATGCAAGGAAAGCTAAATTTAACAATCAATGACAAGCATAAGTATCATTATTTTCCATTATAATAAATGTTTTAAATATCAGACTAAAGAAGAGTTAACTGATATTTTCCTGGATAATTTTGGTTCTGCACTACAAGAGCATAATTATTCATGTCATAGGGGATGCAATAGCTCATCAATCTTTAAACTATTTCTAATTTTCAATACAATTTGTATTTTTATTGTATATGTTGCAAGCATCTTACAGAAGGTAAAGCATAGGGTTGCCTGCATTCTTCTTCCTCAGTCTTTACTTCTGCATATACATTGTTGCTCATAAAGTTGGAATAAATATTCCAATAATAATAAATATTTTTTTTAGCGCCAAACAAATGTTATGCATGAATTCATTTCAACTGGGTATTTGGTACACATAATGTAATCATTGCACCTGGTCAAAAGTGATAACTGATGCATTTAAATAGAAATAAACAGAGGATTGTGTCTGAAAACAAAATTATTCCAACTTTATGGGCAACAGTGTATTTTGAGAATCAGATTTGCCCACACGTTGGATCTTTGCAACTAGGGGAAATTCATGTAACCAAGCTTGCCATGCTTAATTTTTTAATTGATTAATTAATTAAATTCCAAGGTTCCAGTCTATATTGGATTGGAAAACTCCAGTTTTTCATCCTCCTTCATGCTTTCATTTCCTATTTTCATTTTAAGTGCATGAAGTAGATATATAATTTCCTCCCAGCACTTTGAATGTTTGAGCATTATTTTATAATTTTTCTTGGAAAAAATATGAGGAGGATGAAGAAGATGGTTGTTTGAGAAATAGTACCCCAACAATAGTCAGTTGCAGGACCTGTTTTACTCTACCACAGGTTAGGCACCAACTTCTTTATGGATAAACAAAGCAACCTAACCCTCTGGTTTATCTGATTCTGTTTGTCTCTCTGTTAGCCATCAGCTAATCATTCTGCATTTTTTGCAGTGGTTCTGGGAGGTGGTGAAGAGCCTGACCCAGGAGGAACGGGTTCTTTTGCTTCAGTTTGTCACAGGAAGGTTTGTCTGCTGGACATTATACACTTACACTATGGTAAATGAGATAAAAATGTGTAAATGTCTATTGTAATAAAGTATCTTTCTGTATCAGTTCCAGGGTTCCTCATGGTGGCTTTGCTTACCTGATGGGTGGCAGCGGTTTACAAAAGTTCACTGTCGCTGCAGTGCCATACACCTCCAACCTACTGCCTACCTCTAGTACCTGGTAATTACCCTATTCCTCTCTCTGGCAGTCTCTTTCTATTGACTGAGTTCTATAAAAGCCTGTATTATGCAAGCCTGGTCTTGGTTTTAAACTCTTTGACATGTTCATTCTATTATCCTTGACTTGTCTTGACTGAACCCAGCCCTCTTTGGAGCTCTACTGCTGCGTCATACTTCAATGCAGAAAAATTGTTGAAATGTTAAATGGGTCACAAGACTTGTGACTCTTTCTGGTTAAATTGGTAATTTGACAACTATTACAGTTTGCACAAAATTGCAGTTTACGTTTTGTATAATTTTTACACCATTACAGACTTTGTAATGGGTGTGAATTGCACGGAATGTTCAGAGCTGGATGACATCATTGCTAGAGTGGGAGAAGCTCTAGAAAAAATTCTGTGTAAATCGTCCTTACAGCCACATATTTCAGACTTCCCACATCACGGCTTCCTCCATAGTAGACAAATTCATGCTATTTTGTAGAAAGTGTCCAGCTAAGCACAGGGACTTACAGAATTTGAATAGTGAGCATCAAAGTGATGGGAGTACCCGCCACATCCCCCACTGACTGCAATACAAATTCAGGAGCTGATTTTCAGAGAAAAGGAGAAGTGACTCTTTTTTGTAACTCGCTCCTGTGTCCACATTTTTGGCTCTAGAAACACCAAAGCCACACAATCTGTGCTCAAAGATCTTGTGCCAATCATGGTCAGCTCATGGTTCTGATAGGAGTTACAGTTCTGTTCAAAAATAGCAGTTGTTTGAGAGGTTACAAACACAGCTACACAGACACAGACACATACGCACACACATACACACAGACAGAAAGCTGTTTACAGTTAGTGCTCATAGAGAGAGATTACAGTTCAGACAGTACAACAGAAAATACAGCAGCAGACATATTGCATTTACTTTGAGCTTTGAGCTACAGGAACTGTTCAACCATCTTAGTAGCTCTCCCACAGACTGCAATACAAATTCAGAAGCTGATAGCAAACAGCAGGTCTCAGGTCTCAGCAGGTGCTACTAATGCAGCGTCAAGGCAGAAATGGACAAAGCTGATTCTTATTGGCTAATTGGACTCATTAACTCTTACCCCTTTTACTGTCATGTATGAGAGCATGTATAAGGCAAATCAGCACCGTGCATTTGTGCGTGCTTGTATGTGTGTGTGCTTGTATGTGTCAAAATTTCTCCAGGAATTTTCTAGTTATTATTACCAATGAGCTACTGGACACATGAATTTCCCCAATGGGATAAATTAAGTATCTATCTATCTATCTATCTGTCTGTCTGTCTAATCACTTGCCACTCTTGTAGCTTGTAGTCAGCCATCAGTTCCCCATTACATTTTTATTGACAAGTGCTGGTATTGCATATTTTCCTTTGTGTGTCTTTGCCATGTAATTACAATAATAATTTCTTCATAGTTTTTCTGAAAAGAAAAAAGAAAATATAATTTGGTAAAAATTAGTTGTCAGAGGAACTTCTTTAAATTAAATGTTAAAATCTTGATGAGCTAGCCTGTAAACAAATTTAACTTTTTTGCATATTTAGCTGACTTTAAATTATTATTATTTAACTGTAATTATTTGGAAACAAATATTTGGAAGTGCACCAATTGTACCAATTGACACTGTCTTCATATTTCCTGCAACTCTTATGAAATTACATTTCCATTTGCAGGACCCTTTCAATGAATTACAGAAACTAAGCTCTCTCCCTAAACCCTGTTTAAGATTAAGGACTGAGTAAACAAACACAGCACTAGTCACTCTACAGCCTTAACAGTTGATGAGTTTTACTGAGCACTAGAGGGCAGTATGTTTCTTCAGTGTACACAGATGGCACTTTTGAAAAAAGGGAGAGATCTCTGCATAGCAGAATGTTTATCAGGTAATTCATATCAGCACTCCTACATTGGCCAGATATTAGCCATCATAACAACAATGTTACACAGTGTTGACCGTGCCAGCCCACCCCTTTTTTGTTTTCTCTCCTATCTGCAGTATCAACATGCTGAAACTACCTGAATACCCAAGTCAGGAGATCCTGAGAGACCGGCTGCTGGTAGCTTTACATTGTGGGAGCTACGGGTACACCATGGCATAAAATATAATCCTGCTACTGTGAGGGTCTGCAGACTCATGGAACACTCCCTCCTCCACAGACAATTTTGTAGTCAGGCACTGCTTCAGACAAAAAGGAAATCCAGATTCTTATTAATGACCTGCTATAGTGGCAGAACAGACTTAACTGAGGTTCTGGGTCTCCACTCTGTGTTAGAACTTCTATTTTTTTTTTATTGAAGCTGGTGTCTGGTAATTTATGCAAATCATTAAATTTGACTATTTTCATGCATACATTTTTTTAAGCAAAAAAAAAAAACAACCCAAAAAACCCTCTAATTTAAAACACACGGGATAATAATCACAATAAAAACATTCATGCAAGCTTACTGAATGTCAAATATTTATTCTGTTTAAGCAGATATCTAATCAATCAAAGTGCATCATATTCTTATCACACGTTTCACGGTGCAGATTTCTTTAAAGGGCCCACATCAGGCCGACGTACCAGCACAATGGTAAAATCGAACAATTTAGTTTTTGCCTCAATTTTAGGTTTGAAATTTTCATTTTCATTTTAACAGCCAAATTTAACAGTACTTTTATTTTGTTTAACAAAACAAAAGAAACTTCTCAGATGCTCCAATATTAAAATATAATGGAGATCATGGATAAATTGAAAATCACGTAGAAACATGAATGCTTTTAGTTAGCAAAATAATCCTGGTTAGAAAAATTCTTTCTTACCTACTTTCCAGATGACAAAAAATTAAGGAACTTCGGAAAGATTATATAGGCAAAACCTTTTTTTCACCTGCTCTGAAGTCATAAACACAGGAGAGAAAGCAAGTTGGTTTACTGATTTTTCTTGCCTCTCAGGGCTTCCGTATTTCCCTATGAATTAAAAGTCCACATCAAGTTAGCCTTCTACCATTAGTGACAACAGCCGTGTTTCCACCGCAGGAACTTTCCCCAGGAACCTTTTGAGGAACTATGTGCGTTTCGACCGCAGGAACCATGGTCTAAATTTAGTTCCAGGATAACTGATCCACCCACAAAAAGTCCCTGGTCAGAGGGTAGTACTTTCCTAAGGTTCAAGAACTTTGGGGGGTGTGGTCTGCAGTGCTGAACATTTCTGACTGGTCGAGTACTCGCTGCATTTTATTTCACCAGCCATGTTTAAAAGTTTGCAGAGAGCGAGTAAACACCAAGCAAGCAAACGCATTTTCCACACAGCCAAACAGGTCTGGGAGAAGGTGAAAAAACTGAAACAGGACCACAATAACCAGAGCATATAGTATGGGATCGTCCTGTATTTGAAAATAAAATGCTGCGTCCTGAATTGAATATATACGGGACACATTTTGTCCCGTATTTTGATTCATGTTATGTCCTCAAAGTGCTTTGAATAATGTAATGTCAAGTAATAATTTTGCATAACCTTCCCGGGACTTTAGGCTGCGAAGGAAACACAGACAATAATGGACCACAGGAACCTTTTAGTTCATGAAGAAAGTTCCAGGTACTTTTTGGTCGAAGCACGGTTTAAGCAGTCTTTGCCTTGACTACATGCAACATTTGGGAAGGCTCAAAACTAGTCAGCCTAGTTTATAAGTTTATATTAGGTTTATAGTTATCCTAGCTTGATAACTGTACCACTGATTCCTACTACGCGTTACCATTTATTCACTTGCTCAGCAGGAATGTCTGATTATTCATTCCTGCTGAGTCAGTGGCAGCTCATGCACACTTACTCCTGTGTTTGTCCAGAATTATATAAGGGAGGGTGTTAATCCAGCGTTAGCTGTCTCGCTCATGGGTCCAGATGTGGTGACAGCAAATGACCAGACCAGTTATGCCATGAGAGCAAAACTGACTGTTAAACTGCTGGGCTTGAAGTGATATAAACTATTTTAGTACCCTCCCAGGGCCATAGCAAGGGTTAAGGACACTTGAGGTCATGTGTTTTTTTATTTTATTTTATTTTTTATTTTTTTGGGGGGGGAGGGGGTACAATTAAAACAGGGTGGGTACTTTGCTGGTTGGTTCCAGACAAAGTAAAGGCTTCAGTATATCCCCATCAGAATTCCAGTACTGTGTGTTTGAAGAACAGTTTAAAACAGCATTTAGACCATCATGTAAATAAATTTACGTAAAATATATGTTGTGTGATTTTGGGTGGTGGATTCATAACCGTAGTATTTCTTAAATCCGGACTATGGTTCTGTGCCCACCCACACAGATATTGCACCAATCAAAATACAATACAGACATTGTCAGTTGGTAAAAATTGATGCAGACCAGAGAGTACAAATAAAGGGGGGTGCTGTCACTGCAGGAAAAAAAGGTAAAAACTTTTTTCTTTTGGGTAATTAGAAATTTGACCACATAAGTAAACATATTAAAATAAATGCCAAGGATAAATATTAATTGATTTCTTAATAAGTTTAATTTCAGTTTGACTTCAGTTTATCTAAGACTGTACTTATCGAGCTGTGATTGAAAATGTGTGTCTGCCAAGGATAAACTGTAGACTGTATTTAACATTGTTGTTGGTATTGGCGATACTGTATGGCCAAGGTGTCTACCATTTGTCTACATTGCTGCCTGAACACACCCCTCCATCCCTGTATTATAAAATGCATGTGTCATGTGTTTTATTGTGGATTCTTTGTCATTTAAATTTAGTATTTTGCTGTCATCTGTATTTGTACTTTGTGAATAACAAGTGATAGCTTTGTCTTTTATGAGGAACTATACAACATATCTACAAATGTTTGGCATGCAGTGCCAAAAAATAAAAGCTGGAACTGTTTAAATACATTCTTTAATTTGTATTTTGCCAACACAAAGATGCTGAAAATGTGTTTTAATTATGTCATGAATGTATTTGCTAGCTTAGTTTTCCTTCTTTCAGTTTGTAAAGGGAGTGTACATTTAATATGTACAATACTGTTATTGAGCAGTATTGGTTTGAATGCCTCATTTAAAATCTTTGGTAAACAGATTGTTGTTTATTGAAAATGGAGCATTAATACATACTGTACTTCTGTAAATTTCTTCAGTGTCAAATTATGTAGTTTACCATAAATAAATGTTGTGCTTTGAGATTTTATTCAATAAAATTTGTTTTGACAAACAAGGTGATCATGATTGTGCAGGGATGAAAAAGGGAGAGTGAGGAGAACGTACAAGCAGCTGATGTGCAGCTCTTTGGTGTGTGTGTAATATAGCTGTGTGTTTGCATGGATAGACATATGTGGCCACAGTGTGAGTGCTGTGTTAGGTCACCAGTTTAGAACAGCAGGTCTGCTGCTGCTAAATGGCCCCTAACCACTGTTTAGGGACTCCAACATCTGCTGCAACTCTGTCCTGACAGCACATTACACTGGCTGCAACCTCTGCCTTGCTTCTCACCCTTTTACAGTGTCAGACCAGTATTGATACCACTCCAGAAAACACCATCAACTGCAAGTTAAACCAGAACCTTGTAACAGAAATACTGATCCTCTGTAAGGCCAGAAAACCTTTTAGAATACTGTTAAAACCTCTAAAAGGTGACTGAGTAAAGAATGAAGCAAAAAATACCATAATAATATATAATATCTTATTAGCAACTGATCACTACTATACTTAATATCAAACTGTAATTACCAATTAAATATTTTACTTTGAAAAACCATCTACCTGACTTAATGTGGGTTGATTTACCTCTCTTTGAAATGTTAAATATATAAATATACATTATATTCAGGGTGCTGTACTGTACTGTAGCTTGAATACCACAATTTAGAATTTGCTCTCGTTGAAAGGGGGCACCAGTCCTCAGGGAGGACAACAATGAATTGACTAATGTTATCAATCTCATATCAGAAGCCATGACTTCTCCATTCAATGGATCTCCAGTCTCTAGTTCAAAAGAACACAACAGGACAACGGCAGAGTGTAAATAAAGACATTTATTAACTAAACTACGAACTACAAAGTTCGAACTACAAAGTCTGGCCCTTCGTCTGGCGAAGGGCCAGACGAAGAACGGTTCAGAAGATCCTAATGATAAGTAATATCAAGAACCCGAGTACCCGGCCCGGAGGGACACCGGGGCCCCGCCCTGGAGCCAGGCCTGGGGTTGGGGCCCGTGGATGAGCGCCTGGTGGCCAGGCCTTGGCCCATGGGGCTCGGCCGGGCCCAGCCCGAACCGGCTACATTGGTTCGTCTCCCAGTGGGCTCACCACCTGCAGGAAGAGTCAGTGGGATCCGGTGCATTGTGGATTGGGCGGCAGACCAAGTCGGGGGCCTTGGCGGTCCGATCCTCGGTTACGGAAACTGGTTTTTGGAACATGGAACGTCACCTCTCTGGCGGGGAAGGAGCGGGAGCTTGTGGAAGAGGTCGAGCGATACCGGCTAGATATAGTCGGCCTCACCTCGACACACGGCTCCGGAACCCAAGTCCTTGAGAGGAGCTGGTCTCTCCTCTTTGCTGGAGTTGCTCCGGGTGAGAGGCGGAGGGCCGGGGTGGGCTTTTTGGTGTCCCCCAGGCTCTCTGCCTGTATGTTGGAGTTTACCCCGGTGGACGAAAGGGTTGCATCCCTGCGCCTTCAGGTCGGGGATCGGGTTCTGACTGTTGTCGGTGCTTATGCGCCGACAGCAGTTCAGACTACCTGCCCTTTTTGGAGTCCTTGGGACGGGTGCTTGAAAGTGCCCCGAAAGGGGACTCCATTGTCCTACTGGGCGACTTCAACGCTCACGTGGGCAATGACAGCGTGACCTGGAAGGGTGTGGTGGGGAGGAACGGCCTGCCCGATCTGAACCCGAGTGGCGTTCAGTTATTGGACTTCTGTGCTAGTCACAGCTTGGCCATAACTAACACCATGTTCAAACATAAGGATGTCCACAGGTGCACTTGGCACCAGGACACCCTAGGTCGCCGGTCTATGATCGACTTTGTAGTCGTATCATCAGACCTGCGGCCGCATGTTTTGGACACTCGGGTGAAGAGAGGAGCAGAGTTGTCAACCAACCACCACCTGGTGATGAGTTGGATCAGATGGCGGGGGAAGACGCCACGCAGACCTGGCAGGCCCAAACGGGTTGTAAGGGTCTGCTGGGAAAACCTGGCGGAAGAACCCGTCAAGATGATTTTCAACGCACACCTTTCGATCGCGTCCCGAGGGCAGTGGGGGACACTGAGTCCAAATGACGTCAACTGAGGATATAGTGGGATGGTGGAAGGAATATTTTGAGGAGCTCCTCAATCCCACCAACACGTATTCCGTGGAGGAAACAGAGCCAAGAGACCTGGGGATGGATGATCTAATCTCCAGGGCAGAAGTCGCCGAGGTAGTGAAACAACTGCGCGGTGGCAGAGCCCCGGGGGTTGATGAGATCCGCCCTGGGTATCTCAAGGCTCTTTATGTTGTAGGGCTGTCTTGGTTGACACGCCTCTGCAACATTGCGTGGACATCGGGGGCAGTGCCTTTGGAGTGGCAAACCGGGGTGGTGGTCCCCATCTTTAAGAAGGGTGACCAGAGGGTGTGTTCCAACTACTGGGGAATTACACTCCTCAGCCTCCCTGGTAAGGTCTATGCCAGGGTACTGGAAA